CAACAGTGAGAGGCCTGCGTACCGCAAAAAAAAAAAAAAGCCTGTTGTGAGGTTATTCCATCTTCTGTATATCAGAGGTCACTGTTGCGGTGTAACTAAGATTCATAATTTCCTAAAGGAGAGTGATTTGTCATCAAGGTCTGTACCCCGATGGTTGCTTGTTTCACCAGTCTTACTGTTGAGTGATTAACGGAATAGCCAGGAGATTGAAAATACTCCGCAGACAGCATCCCCTCTTGGGAACGTTGGCTTCAGTTTACTCTTAACGTGTGCAATCAGAAGCTGTAAATGCATTCAGAATATATGCGCTCAGGGAAGCTCCGGCGGGGACTGTGGGAGCTGACTGCTGGAGAATGGCTTAAGAGTTAAGATGGAGAATTCAGCGGCGTCTCAGGGTTTTATGATCAGGTGTATGTTCTCATTTGTACAGTCATTCATCTTTCTCAACTTTCAGATTCCAGAGGTAGACCATCTTTCTCACCCATCCTCTATCTCACTCTGGCCTCTGGAGCATTCTAAACCTATGATTGTGTTTTGTCACTTCCACTCTGGGCTGAGACAGTGAAAACAGAAGTTACAGTGAATTTGATGCAGACCGTTAGTGATCAAATGCTCACCCTCTGGATTCCTATGAATCGTTAACCTTGAAATCAAGGGGAGTGGGTTGGGAAGGGCCTCACTGAACACTGAATATAAATAGGCGGGTAGCGGATTAGTCCCCAGGGTTTATAGTCACCTTCTTAAATATCTGATGTCAGTTTCAGGGTTTATTCTCCTTTAAGGTATGTCTCGGGTTTGCTGAGAATGTTCAGTTATATCTCTAAGCCCAAGCTAACAAATTAACTAAGTCTCCTTAGTTTAAAACATGAAATCAGTTTTATGCCAACCAGATTCCATGATCAAACAGGTCAACTAAGAACAAATAAAGAATAAAATAGATTAAAGGCACTAAGTGGCATTGTTATAATTTTTTTTTTTTTTTTTTTCTTGCGGTACGTGGGCCCCTCACCGTTGTGGCCTCTCCCACTGCGGAGCTCAGGCTCCGGACGCGCAGGCCCAGCGGCCATGGCTCACGGGCCCAGCCGCTCCGCGGCATATGGGATCCTCCCCGACCAGGGCACGAACCCATGTCCCCTGCATCGGCAGGCGGACTCCCAACCACTGCGCCACCAGGGGAGCCCCTGTTATAATTTTTCACGCAATGTTCTCATTAGCTCTTCTGATCCGAAGGTATGTGTTTAGACATCAAGTTAGTTATCTGGTCTTTGTGTTTTCAGGTACATCTTAAATGTTGTTATGATTAAGTGATCCAGGATTTTTGCTTTTAAATGCCAGTAACTAATGCATCTAGGGTAATGGTGCCTCTCAGGCCATCAAATCCCAAAACTGTGAAAGCTTAAACTTGACCCGGACACACCTTCTTGGTTTTTATTTTCATTTTATTTCTATTTTCACTGTTTATTTAATTTTCTCTCTCTCTTCTTTAAAACTCTATTTGTATTTCTATATGGAAACTCTCATATGCAAAACTCAAATGGTCATATTTTCCTTCCTCAGGCTATTCCTAGGAAAACTCACTTGTTTTTTTGTTTTTTTGTTTTTTTGCGGTACGCGGGCCTCTCACTGCTGTGGCCTCTCCCGTTGCAGAGCACAGGCTCCGGACGCGCAGGCCCAGCGGCCATGGCTCACGGGCCCAGCCGCTCCACCGCATGTGGGATCTTCCCGGACCGGGGCACAAACCCGTGTCCTCTGCATCGGCAGGTGGACTCTCAACCACTGCGCCACCAGGGAAGCCCTCTCACTTGTTTTTTCACATGGAAAATTCATGTCATTAGATCCCTGTATGCGTTCACAGCCCCCCAAATGAGATTTTTCAGCTAAAAGTCACTAAGTCTAATCACCAGAAGTTCTTGAATTCTCTTCTCCTTGTAATTACGCGTGAAAAAACAAAAAAAAACAACAAAAAAAAAGACAGAGCTGCTGGAATAGAAAACGGCAAAGAAAGTAGCTTAAACGTGGATCGGGTTTCTATTCTAGAACCAGCGGATGGATGAGTCACTTAGAGGATTTGGGAGCGTGGTGCTTAGTCTGTTGGGACGGCTAGGGTGCCAGACCATGAAATCAACACGTTTCGTTTTGTAGATAAAAATACCATTCTCCAGGAAGTGGTAGTATCTGAAAGACACGTAAATGGTTGCATTTGTAAGGGATGAGTTCCAGCCTTGACTTGTGCGAATCCCAGATGTGAGAGGAAAAGTAAAGAGAAGAAAAATAAGCTTGGGGTTAAAATGAGGAAATGAAATCCACTAAAAAAATTAGGTAGGTACCTGCCTCACCTCCAAACCTCTAGAGGCCAGTACGTTTTAGTTCTTTTTTTAAAATCTGAGAATGAACACGGTACATTTCCCTAAAGTTGGCCAAGGCCCTGGGAGAAGCTGAAATGGAATTACTTAGAGTTGATGCATCCATGAGGTCGGGCCTGAGACCTTGGTTGTTTGATCAGGATTTTTGCCCTTCATTTCCTGAAAACGATATTGGTGTATGTGAAAAGTGCATGTAAGCTCTCAAACCCAAATGTTGTCTCTGCATTTAATTAAAAAAAAAAATCGGGGGGGGGGGCTTCCCTGGGGGCGCAGGGGTTGGGGGTCCGCCTGCCGATGCGGGGGACACGGGTTCGAGAGGCCAGCGTACCGCATAAAAACAAACAAACAAACAAAAACAAAAAAAAATTTTTTTTTTTAATCCTAGAATAAGACAAAGCCTTTGGTTCTTTGTTTGATCCTATTCTAATATAGGTTTTTCTAAATTCCCTTGACATTTGATCTCCTGCCCAGGAAGAACAGGGGGAAGGGGCAAGAGAATATGGGATTAACTCCATCTCCCTCTAGGGTCTGGTAGGTTGGGGGTGATCTCAAAATCATTTAGTGAACTGGGCAGCAGCGCTTTAAAAAATTGAAATGAAATAGAAAATATCAGAGCGCCTGTATGCAATAAATCTAAATGATTCTTTGAAACTGTACCGTGTCTGTGTGTCTGTATGTATAAACACATATTTCATGTGTACAGGGTTGCAGTATAGTGTGTACATCTTACTGTAAGTCATAGTCAGAACATTCTGAAGATCAGTGCTGTAAATTATGGATTATTGTCTCTCGAGGTTGGCTTTTCTAGGGATCCTGGGGCGGGGTACGTAGAGGGCCACTTTTCTCCAGCTTTACCTCACCAGAAGGCCAGCGGGTCTTCCGAACCTGCTGTTCTGAGTAGCTAACGCGTGTCAAATCGAAGTCAAGCAACAAAGTAGGTTTCCAACATCTACACTTGTCACAAAGCAAAAAGAAAGAATTAGATGCAGGCTTCTTACCGAGACATCACATCGGTTCTTAAAATAGGGCTTTCTTTGGATGCCATCTCTGGATGCCGTCTTTGTGTTTCTTTTGTTTTTGTATTTACTTTTTTTCAATTTGGTAATACAGTTTCTTTGATTTCCCCCTCTTTTTGGTACTTTCCATGGTTCTCCTTCTGCCTTCCTTTCTTTCACTCCTTTTATATAGTTGAATAGATATTCCATGTATTTACATGATGATGATGATGTAAGGGATGTTGTATCCTTCTCACTCTATCACACCTGGAGACACATAACATCACCTTTTTCCATTACTGGTGATTTTTAAAAATATATATCAACTCTGTGTGTGTATGTGTATGTGTGTGTGTGTGTGTGTGTGTGTGTGTGTGTGTGTAAATAAAGCCATGTGTACTGGGTTAAGGTTTCCTCCCTTAGTTAAGTGGGTGTCTTTCTCGGTTTCCCCATGTCCAGTATTAAATTTCCTTTGTAATCAATAAGCTATTTTTGAGAAGGCACCTGTAATTTCTGTCCTCATCAAACTTCCCCTCACCAGTTTTAGCATTCATTGATGGTTCTTGCCTAACTATGTAGGTTTGGGCTGTTTTTCACACCTGACCTTCCTTTCCTTAATGGTATTCTTCAATCTGTATCATTTTTAAAAATTTATTTATTTTTTATTATTTTTATTTTTATTTTATTTTTTTATGGCCGCACCACTCAGCACACAGGATCCTAGTTCCCTGACCAGGGATTGAACCTGTGCCCCCTGCAGTGGAAGCGTGGGGTCTTAACCACTGGACCGCCAGGGAAGTCCCCTGCATCATTTACTAAACAGAAGAGCTTGTCTCCTGACCCCAGATTCAAATGCCTGACCTCAAATTCTTCTGATCTCAAATTCAAATTCTTGACATAGCCTCTAGCTTAGACTTTTGGTCAAAGAAGTATTCACTAAGGTCTGTATTTCTAAGGTTAGTTTCAATACTGAAAATACAGGAAAAATATATAACACAAAAAACTCAACATATCTCAATGAAATTGTCAACAGTTAATTCAGAGACTGTAATAATGGTTTAAGGTTTTTCTAAGAGGACATCTGAATCTTAACATTTCAGAAAAGACTTTCTCCAGTGCTGGTTATGTATTATTTATTATTATTATTATTAGCTTTTGTGATTGTGTCAGAGTGCTGTCAATATATCTTATTACATTCGTTCTAATTATATTACTACTCAAGACTTAAAGCACAGAGGGAATGAAATCATTTGCATTAAGAATTGGGTGAATGAAATGAATGAATGAAAGCCTTCTCCTTGCATGATTTTATGTCCAATTACATATGTTTGGAAATGGTGAAGTTTTAGGCTAGCTTGGGTTAATATTAATAATTTCTTTTTCTTCAATGAAATTTTATAAAGAAGGCAGGGTGGCTTCTTTTCTTTTCTTTTCTTTTTGTGGGGATCCATGCCATGTGGCTTGTGGGATCACAGTTCCCGACCAGAGATTGAACCCAGGCCATGGCAGTGAGAGTGCCGAATCTTAACCGCTAGACCACCAGGGAACTCCCCAGTATTTCTGTTGACTGCATGATCTATGGCTGCCGAACAAACCTCCTCAACAAATGGTGACTTAAAACAACCGCCATGGATTTTCTCATGATTTTGCGGATTGGTGGTTTGGACTTGGGTCATCCCTGCTTCCACTGTGTGTGCCGGGCTCACTTGTAAGTTGGGCTGAGGCCTGACGGGTCCTGCATGGGTGGTTGGGTCTCTCCTAAGGAGGCAGCCAGGCCTGACTCTAAGGCAGCAGCATCCCAGTGGGTGGGGACGCTGCACACCAGGCTTCCCACGGCCAAGACTTAGAAGTCACTCCTGCTCTGTTATTGATTCCAGTCACCAGGTCAGCCCAGCATCTAGGGGTGGGGAAATGGGTTCCACCTCTTGCTGGGAGGGACCACAAAGAGTGTGGTCACCTGCAACTCACCTTACACGACAACTTTCAATGTAGCAAACCTAAACCTCTTATTTCATGTATCTGTGGGCACGTATACATTACGCGTGTGTCCCTATATAGAGACATATACGAACTCAAGAGGACATTCCTATATAAACCGTCTTTCTAGTTTCATAAAGAAAAGATTCTTCCTAACTGGAATTGCATGGAAATATTTTCTAGGACCTGTGGCTGACATTTCAGTAATAACTGAGTCAGTTCTTATCACCTCATCCTTCTGCATTGCAGCAAAAGTACCTTTACTTTATTAGGCCAAGTTCAGCTCAGGTTGATTCACCAGGAGGAACAGTTAGTTCATGCAGTGAAATGAAGATAAAACTTAGGCGTGGGAGCAGCTGCCTGAGAGGTCAGAGCCCAGCAGCCTCTGAGCTGTGTCTGCGGGGACATTGTCACCGGGACATCGATTCAAGTCCTCTTCGTTGAAAATACCCTGAACTCTTCTGTTGCAGAGATTAACCAAAGTGCTGACAATCTACACGTGTTTCTCCTGATCTGTGGACTCCGACAAGTGAAAGACCCTCTCTATTTGGTGGATGCATTCTCGGGTATGTGTTCTCAGGTGACCCCTTTGCCTGCGGAATTCCACCAGGGTCCCTGTCTTCACATGTCTCTCCTTAGGACTTTGAGTTTTCTCGTTTTTTTGCCCATCAGCAGAACTGTTTCTAGGTTGTTACTTTGGAAACAACCAGAAAAATAACCTCGCTGTGTAGTCATTTCAGTTGTTTCCTACTTTCCTGTGCCCTCAGCTTCTGAGGAAATCATAAAACAGAGCCGATAAGTCTAAAATGATTTTATCTGGCAATATTTTACACATGCCAATTTGTATGATACATTTGGAGTTTTGTTGCATTGCTTAAGTTAATCTATACACTCTTCAGTATATTCTGAGATCCATATTGAATTGTGATGGCATATCCATCCTAATTACCTAATAAATTAGATATCTGAATAATGTGCAACGTGCTAGAAAAAAATATTTTCCTTAAAACCATAAAATGTCAAATACTTACATTTAAAATAATTATAAGTTGACTAATATGAATGAAAGCAAAATGATATGAAATAATTTATATTGTAACGTAATTAATATTAAACTGATTTATGTTTTCAGCTGTGACTTAGAACCATTTTAAAAGTCTTTTTTTTTTCTTTTTTTCTCCCCAAGAATGGCATCAAGAGGAGCCCAGCGTTTATATGGTTATCGTTGGTCCTGAAGTAAGTTGATCTGCCATAAGCATTGATCTCGTCTCTGTTTTCCTCTTTATTCTTCTTATGTATTTTCTAAAATTAGTTTCTGTTTTCTAACCCAAAGTTTCTTGCTTTCTTAAGTAAATAAAGTCTATTTGCCTTTTTAACAATGAACACCAGACCAAGGTTAAAGATTATGAGGCTTTATAAGTCTTCACAATTAACTTATTGCTACAAAGGGTAAGAAATTCTTATGGGAATACAGAGGAGTCATATAAAGAAAGTCCATGTAAGTCGGTGTATAAGGCAAACGTTCCATGTGGTCCAGATCGTCTTTGAAACTTCCTGCAAGTGCTCACCTGACAAACACAGAGGTTGTTCCTTCACCCGAGCACCGGATTAAGCCATTGACTTGCATTCAGGAGCCGAGTGGGGTGGAAAAGCACAAGAAATACAGTCTGCACTGGGGCATGTCCTTGCCTGTCAGTGGCCGTTGTCCGGGGAACAGAGACCAGTGGCAGGGCTTGGAGGTGTAGCCTCTCTCTCCCCGGGACTCGGGATATCCCCTCTCTCCTCCGGCAGGTCCGGAGCAAGCATGTGCTCTGCTCCAGAGTCAATTCTAAGCGCTCAGGACACAGAGAATCTGGGTGGTGACACACTGGTCATCTCGTGAAAGTGAGCGCTGATTTGCTCCAAGCAGTTTGGAAGGTAAAGTATGCATCCCGCCAGGTGGGATGTAACACTGCAGTAGCAAGGCCTTTTCTTTTCTTCGTGGGGCTTCTGTGCCAGGGCTGCACAGTGCATCCCCTGCGCCCTAGGACGACTCACGCTTCCTTTCCCTTTGGCCCAGCCGGATGGCCGAGTCTGTGCACATTAAATGCCTGCATGACCTCCCTGTTCTGTTCTGTAATTCCTCCTCTCGTGGCTTCCTAGTTCCCTAGGGACCCACCGAGCATTGCAGGGGGTGGCAAGCTTTTCTTTAGAAACTAAAGACCTTTGGAAATACTACATTTACCTCGAAAAACGCCCCCTAGCCTAAAAACATATCAAGGGCTAGAACCTGTGTAGCCACATTGGTTGTCACATGGAAGATGAATCACCCATCATCCATGTTCTTTGTTGGTATAACAGACACTCACACACACAGGCACGCACATACCCAGGCCTGCACGCACATACCCACATCCATCACACGCTCAGGGCCAGCCTTTTGATGGTTAACAAGATAATCCCTAGTGCACTAATGAATGCATGTTGAATAATGAATGTTTGGTCCCATAGTGGCAAAGTTGTTACTATTATTATTAATGCTCTTTCCGTCCTCCTGTTCGAAGAGCATGATTGGCTGAAAAAGTTTTAGTTTGATGCTAAATTCCTTGCTAACCAAGAGAGAAGGCCTGAGGTTAGAGCCATGGCAACAACAGTTATCCTGAAAGAATTTAGTAATGTGGCTTTCTTTTCCATTGTTTTTACTTTTATGGTTTTGTTCTGCTTATGGTGTGTGATACTGGCTTTCCAACGCTGAAAATTTCCTTTAAAAATGAATTGATGTCAGAAAAAGTAGTAAATAAGCAACAGTACAGCTGGGGCACAGATGTGACAAATTGTGAAAGTAGGCAAATAGCCACAGTTTGGGAAACAGTTTTTATCGAGAATCAATCAGCGTGCCCAGTGGAAGAAATACCCAAAGAACAACGCTTGGTGGAGAACGTTTGCAAACATTGGGCTAATGATGATCTGATTTCTCTGTTTGACTTTTTCTGTCGTGTTTCCTTTTAAGGAAACCTAGAGGGAGGTGGCAAACTTCGAAGCCCTAGTTTAGCACTAAATATGTGCCAGAAACCCTTTTCCAGAGACATGAAGACCAAGGCAGCGTTTGAGCTGATACAGAGGTCAGAGAAGAGGGAGTGACCAGGACACGTGGTGCTTTCCTGCATTTATTAAGCATCTTTATCTTTAACTCAGCTGCCTACAGGTGAAGGATGCCGTTTGTTTCATAAAGGCTTCCTAAGTCACAGTCTTTTAGAAGAAACACTGTTGTATTGTTTTTTACATTAAACAGTTAGGAAGGCTTTTCGCTTCTCAGGACACGTTTTTGGAACATACAACTTTCCCTCTAACTTTAGTTTGCCTAATTTTAAAAGAGCAGTGAGTGTAAGAAATGTGTCTCTTTCCTCCTAATTTCACTGCGGGCTCCAGGTTGGGAGGCGGTAGGGGAGGGTGGAGACTGTGGCCAACTGTGGAATGAATGGTGGGCGGGGCACAATTCAGCCACAGCAGGGTTTGCATTCAAAGATGCAGGCTCCCTTGTCAGCCTTGCAAGAGAAGCCGCGATCCAGAGGCCTTTTTCTTCCTCTGTTTTGAAAAAATGCCTGTGTGTGTGTGAAATGTCTTATTTTTAACTGCTGGGAACTAATCAGGCAAACGTACTTATGCTTGTTCATGCGTGCGCACACACGCACACACACACACACACACTCTCTGTCTCTCTCTCTCTCTGTCTGTTTGCCTTGGTGGCCCTACAAAATGCATCTCTGTATTTTCTCTTTTGTAACTTCCGGAGGGAGGCAATCCTAAGTGGTTTTGAGCAAAGGCTGTCATGACTTTGCCCATTAAGGATCAGGGAGCAGAGGGTGACGTGAGCTGGGCGGGGCAAAGCAGGTTTGCAGGGACCGTGGAAAGACGTGTCTTGGGAAGCTTAAGTGCTTCCGCAATTCCAGGGGCCCCTCCTCTCTTTTTCCAAACTAGTCTAATAAATCTGATATACCTGAGGACAGGATGCTTACTGGGCAAATGCGGGTCTGGGACTAGTCTTGTAGAATGCCCGCCCCCCCAAGGCCCCCGTGCGCCCGTTCTGAAGCTGCATCTTCAGCCACCGAGCTGGTTTGCTTGGGTGGGGCGGGAACACAAAGCAACAGGGAATGAACGAGAGGAAGAGGAGCCATGAAAGGGAGCTGTTGAGTGAAGGGTGGTGAAGCGTTGTGATCCGAGAGCTGCTAGTCCTTAAGTTCATTGCCATGAATTAGTAACAGTTCGCAAGCACATCTTCCACAAGGCACTCCACTCTCTATAATTAAAAGCCCTCAAGGAAACAGGGAAAGGCATCCTTGGGTTGCAGATTTGCTGCTTAGCAAAACCAGCCGTAAGCACCTGGCACTGTGCAGGCGGGCGCGCTCAGCCCAGAGCTTTACTGAGATTTGCTCAATTCTCCACCGACCGGAGAGACTGGATCTTCCAGACCTAAATCTGCCTGCAGGGATGCAGCCGCCTTCTCAGCCTTGCACGGACCTGAATGCGGAAGCGAAGGCTTTGAACCTGACTAGCGTTAATCTGTCTTGGTCCATCCGGGTGGCCATAACCAAGGACCGCAGATGGGGTGGCTGACGAACAACGGCGACTTATTTCTGACACTTCTGGAGGCCACGAGTCCAAGATGAAAGTGCCAGCATGGTCATGTTGTCGTAAGGATGCTCTTCCTTTCTTGCTGTGTCCTCGTGGTGGAAGGGGCGAGGGAGCTCTCCGGGGTCTTTTGTAAGAACGCTAATCCCATTCATGAGGGCTCCAGCATCATGACCTAAGCACTTCCCAAAGACCGCACCCCGCAATACCATCACCTTGAGGGTTAAGATTTCAACATATGAATTTTAGGGGGGGACACAGACATTCAGCCCCTAGCAATATCCCTGCCTCGTAAAAGGTCTTTATCAAATGTAAAGAGCCATTACAGTAGCCATTACAACAAACACCTTAGTGTCATCTTAGTAGACAGAATAATTTTGAGTTTCTAAATTTCTAAGGCAGCCCTTAGAACCCAGTTAGTCACAAACTCCTTCAAACCTCTTGTTTCCTTCTTGATTCCCTCTTCCCTACAAAAGGTTTTTGTTTTTTTTTTTTTGGCCATGTCACACCACTAGTGGGATCTTAGTTTCCCGACCAGGGAACGAACCCTGGCCCTTGGCAGTGAAAGCACGGAGTCTTAACCACCGGACCGCCAGCGAGTTACCCAAAAGATTTAAAACTAAATATATGTAGACACACATTTCAGACCCTCTAGTAATTCAGATAAGGCTAGTGTCTGTTAAGTTTTGTGTTTGTTTGCTTTTTCTCCATAACCAGTGGTATGCTGGTCAATGTTTAAAAACGGTTCTGTTTGGGAGAGCGGGGTGGGGCGCCCTGTTTTCTAACAGCCCTGTTTGCCTATTTCTATAAAAAGCTTTTACCAAAGCCAACTCCTGCACGTTTTACCTAGTGACCCATTACACACACACACACACACACACACACACACACACACACACCAGAAACAAGCTTTATTAAACAATACTCTTGATTCATGTATTTCACACTCTGTTATTTTAAAAAACCTGTTCTATGTCTCTGCTTTGCTATTCCATGTCATTAAAACAAAGGTTATTTTTATTCCAAATTTGATTTCATGATGTGCTCCCTGATCTGAAGTTTGGACAACACTGACTTGGGCTATGCTTGATGGTGTGTGTGTGTGTTTGTGTGTGTTTCTCTCCATCCACTACACATATTGCCTCTTGAAAGCCAGTGCATTGGCTGCTTCCTCAGTGAAAGATTCCCTCCCCAAATCTTGGGCTGGCTCAGATGTGCTTCTCCTGACCCAAGCTCTTCCCCACTATCATTATAAGATTTCCAAGCATATATCAGTTTTCAGCGTCAAGAATTCAATTTAACATCACTTTTTAAAATTTTTTTTTATGAAATCTTCTTTATTTATTTATTATTTTTGCTGTGCTGGGTCTTTGTTTCTGTGCAAGGGCTTTCTCTAGTTGCGGCAAGCGGGGGCCACTCTTCATCGCGGTGCACAGGCCTCTCACTGTCGCAACCTCTCTTGTTGCGGAGCACAGGCTCCAGACGCGCAGGCTCAGTAGTTGTGGCTCACGGGCTGTAGAGCGCAGGCTCAGTAGTTGTGGCTCGCGGGCTGTAGAGCGCAGGCTCAGTAGTTGCGGCTCACAGGCTCTAGAGCGCAGGCTCAGTAGTTGTGGCTCGCGGGCTGTAGA